GGGGAGTGATCTCTCAGCGCCGCCTGCTTCCCAAACCTGTACTCTGCTGCTATCCAATGCAGCTCCTCGTCCCAGTCTCGCTTCTTCTTTTCCCCGTACGCTCGCAGTCCCCGCTTCAAGGTCTGGACCAGTCGCTCAGTCAGCCCATCGCTCTGTGGGTGGTACCGCGAAGTGCGCCTGTGGGTGATCCCAGTCTCCTCCAGCAGCCCCTTAAACTCCCCCTGGAATTCTGTCCCTTGATCTGTTAGGACCTCTGCACATGCCCCGAACTTGCACAACACTTGTTCCTTGAACGTTGCTGCCACGTGTCTCGAGCTCTTGCTCAGGATCGCTCTTACCTCCAGCCACTTGCTCACATGTCCGACCATGAGCACTATGTACTGCTTCCCCCCACAGCTTAGTGGCAGCTCCCCCGCCAGGTCTAAGGACCATCGGAAGCCGAGGCCTCGGATGGGCAGCGACTGCAACTCCGCCTTGGCTTGGGTGAGGTTTTCCCTGCTCGTTTGGCATGCCTCACAGCCCTCCACCCACCCCTTTACTTGCCTTCGCATCCCCTCCCACCACCACCCTGTCTTCAACAGCTGCACTGTCCTCTCGTGCCCAAAGTGCCCTAGCTTGGTGTGGACTTCCTTAATCACTACTTCTCTCTCACTTGGAGCCGGCACCAGCTTCCATCCGTCCTCTGTCTGCACCTGCAACTGCTGCTGGTACCACCGGTAGTGCTGGCCCCTTGCCCTTACCCGTGCCGGTAGCGCTTCATCCTCTCCCGTCTCTCCCTTTACCCATCGCAGGGCCGGCCCGTCCTCCCATATGTCTGCTGGCCCCTTCCCCTCCTTGGCCCCGTTCTGCTCCACTAATTTGGCCAGCAGTGTCCAGGTTACAGTGGGCTCAAGCGGTGGGGGGTTTCGTGAGAGGCCATCTACGTGTTGCAGTGTCTTTTCTGGCCTATGCCTGATCTTGAAGTCATACTCCTGTAGCTTCATCGCCCATCTTGCATTCCTTCCCGTCAGACCCGGGGTTGACATCAGCCACGTCAGGGGCTGGTGGTCTGTTACTAAGGTGAATTTTCTCCCCTGCAGATACACCCTGAAATGCCCTACTGCCCATACGGCTGCCAACCCTTCTGCGATGTAGGAGCTGTACTGTGCCTCTGCCGAGTTGCAGCTCCGGCTCGCATATGCCACTACCTTCTCCTCTCTTTCTTCCTCCTGGCAGAGGATCCCTCCCATCCCTTGGCTGCTCCAATCGGTGTAAAGCGTGAACGGCTGATCAGCGGCGGGCAGCTTGAGCACCGTCGCGGTCTTCACTGCTGCCATCAGGTCCTGCAGCGCCCCTTTCTGTGCTTCCCCCCACTCCCACGCCTGGTCTTCCCGCAATAGCACATTCAACACCGCTGCTCGCTTGCTGAAGTTGGGCACAAACCGCCTGTAGTAGCTCAAGAAGCCCAGCACTGCTCTCAGCCCTGACTTGTCCCTCGGCTCCCTCAGTCTGTCCAGGACTTCCACCTTGGCCTGTTGGATCCCTATCTGTCCCCCTTTCACCTCATACCCTAGGTACTGCACCGTCTGTTCCCCCCATCTGCACTTCTTCGGATGGCAGGTGAGTCCCGCCGCTTCAATCGCCGCTAGGGTCCACTCCACATCCTGCAGGTGCTGCTGCTCTGTGGTGCTGAAGATCACCACATCATCAATATAGCAGGCTGCGCACTCCATTCCACACAGCACGCTGTCCATGACCCTCTGGAATACTGCTGATGCGTTCCTCAGTCCAAACGGCATGTACAACCACTCGTACAGCCCGTCCGGCCCATGAAAGGCCGTCTTCCTAACGTCCTCCTTTCTGATTTTGATCTGGTTGAACCCCTGCCGCAGGTCCAGAGTAGTGAAGAACACCTCCTCTGCCAATTTGTCAAAGATTTCCTCTGCCATCGGCATCGGGTACCTGTCTGCTATGGTGATTTTGTTGAGTGCCCTGTAGTCTCCACACATTCTCCTGCTCAACACCTCCTTTGTCAGGTCTCTCCTGGCTGCCACCACTGTGGGTGTGGCATACTGAGACTCTGATATCCTAATCAGTCCTCCTCCAGCAGCTCCTTGATCTTCTCCTTGCAGGTCTTCTCATCCCCAGGCGGCATCTTCCTCCTGCGCTGGAACACTGGTTCTGTGCTACTCAGCTTCAGCTCCATCTCCTTCACCTTGCACCTTCCCAGTTCCTGCATGGTGAAGGCAAAACACTTCCTGTGCCTGGCGAGCAGCTCTTGCATGGCCTCCTTTCCCTCCTTGCTCATCCCTTCCCCCACCACCCAGCTCTCCTCCTCCTTCTCTTGGCAACTCCATGCACCCCGTGGCTCCGCCTCCATCCTTCCTCTCTCTTCCGCCTGCCCCCAGTTCAGGACCGTCTCCCGCCACATCCGCTGAATCAGCCACCTCATCACGTGGCCATCCATTGTATTCCCCAGAGCCCTCGTCCTGTCCGCTTCACTTGCCCCAGGCGCTGCTGTTGCGTCTTTCCCGTATCCCATAGCCAGCTCCTGCTCCACTGCCGTGAGCTCCTCCCATCTCCCATTCTTGTGGTCATACACCATTCCTGGCCCCGGCTTCCCTGCTTCCCACTTGTACCCTGCTGCCCCGACATAGGCCATCAGCGTGGGCAGAGCCCTCCTCTCCTGCCCCACTTGGTTACACTGCTCGTGCCTGCTGTAGCTCTTGCGATACACTGGTGCTGGGGTCCGCCCTGGTTCCAGGATATCCTTCACCTTCATTTCTGCTGCTCGCCTTACCCCCTCCATCTCTGCCTGCAGTTGCTCGGCAGGGACCACATTCTGCTAGTACATTCTGAGCCGGTGCGCGTAGGACCCCATTCTGGCCGCATCACAGCTCACCCCTTCTCCCTGTTGTCTCCTGATCCTGTCCCTCACCAGTCGGATTGGCTCTCTGCTATCCCCCTCCAGGTCCAGGTTCTCCAGCAAGTATGCCACCCTGCCCTGCCTCTCCTGCAGCCACTCCATGATTCGGAACAGATCCTCCAGCAGCCCCACCCTATGATCTTCTCCTCCCTTGCCCCTGCCTGCCCAAGACACCCCTTGGCATTCCCACCCTGCCACCAGCAGATCCACCTGCCCCCAGCTCGCTACTTCGGCCTCACCTATGTCTTTCACATCGTGAATCGTCCCCCCCGTCGCCTTGCTGATCACCTCCTCACTCAGCAGGTCCGGGAATTCCGCTTGCAGCTTCCTGGCATGGTGCTCTGCCATCCTCCTCACCCCGGGTTCCTTCTCCACATATGTCCATCGTTTCACTGCTATCCTATTCCTCACCACTGCTGCAGCTTGTCCATCCCTTTCATTCTAGGCGCCCCTCCCCTCCCTGGCAGCCCTCCCTGCTCCCCTAGCAGCCGCTCCCCCACGGCCTGGTATGCTCTCTTCAGCTCCACTTTCACGAATCGCACTGGCTGTTCTCCTAGCGGCCCCTCCCTTTTCCAGTATATGGTCCTAAACTCCACCCTCTCCTTCCAAGTACAGATGGTCATTCCTACCGCATACACCAGCTCGGTGCCCACCAGCACATCGAAGTCCTCTGACTCGGAAATCCCACACTTCATGCGGATTTTGGTTTCATGTGTCCCCCCCGACAGCAGCGTCACTTCTATGGGCGTCCGTGTGCATGGCATCCATTTCGGCTCCCCCCCTTCCGCTGTCATCACCACGATCTCCTTGGCCACGTGTCTCTCTGGAGCCAGCAGTCCTAGCCTCTCAGCCATCCCTCTGCCCAACATCACGCTCTATGCCCCCGTATCTATGATGGCTGTCGTTACCTTCACTCCCTCCACTTCCATGGCTCCCTTTTCAAGCAGCAGCACCGAGGTCTGGCATGCCAGCCTCTCTTGGGGGTGGCGTGCGGGGGCTGGCTCTTGGGCTGGCTCGGATGGCGCTTCTCCCTTCACCTGCTCCTTCCTTCCTTGCTCTCGCCTGCCATCTCTTCCCCCGCTTCTCAGCCCCATCTCCTCTCTCCCCCTCCATGCCATGAGAGCACACTGCACGTCCTGCTCCACCTCCTCTCCCCCCCTTTCTCCCGCGTACATTTCTGCCTCCGCCTCCCCCTTCAGCCCTGTTGCCCTCAGCTGTGCCTGCAACCTGTTAATCTGCCGCTGCAGCTCCTCTGAATGCCTCCCACTCCCCCCTTCCCTCTGGTAGCAATCCTTCGCCTCATGTCCCTGCCTTTTGCAGATTTCACACCGGGCTGCATCCGGGCATTCCCGCTTCCTATGCCCCGGCTTCCTGCACCCATCACAGTTTTTGCAGTTCCTGCGCAGATGGCCCGGCTGTCCACACCTGTGGCATGTCCTGGTATCTGCCCCAGTCTCCCCTCGTCCCTCCATTCTCCCTCCTCCTCCCGGTATTATGGCCGCCGCCCACGTTGGCCGCCTACTCCTCTCTGCTGGCCTGGGGAGATATGCCTCGAATTTCCTTTGCGCCAGCTCCACCCTCTCCGCCAAGGCTCCGAGCTCATACACCCTCATCCTCAGCCCCCCTCCTAAGGCCTCGTCCAAGCCCCCCAGGAACTTGCTGACGAGAAGGCTGCTGTCCGTGCATCTCACGTCCTCCGCCACATTTATCAGCCGGTTGTAATAGGTCAGCAATGATTCAGTCCTGCCCCTGCTGAATTCCTGGAACTCCCTTATGCGCTCGGCCGTGTGCCCTGGGAATTGCTGCTGCAGCCTCTCCAGGAATGCCTCGGTGGGGTCCTCGACGTACCTCCCCGCCCTCCACAGCAGTTCCTCCGTCCTCATACGGTAGAGCGTCTCGGCCTCTCCCTCGAGCGTGTTCGGCAGGCTCAGGAAGAAGTCTACTGGATCCATGTGGTGCCGGTCGCAGCGGTACCGCACATTCCCCACCTGCATGAGGTAGTTCTTGAGGGCCGGTCCTGCACGCTGGTCAGCTAAGAATCTGGCGGGCACCTCCACCCGCGGGGCGCCGTTGCTGCCCCCACGCCCCTCTCCCCATGCCTCGCTGGCCCCTTCCTGCCGCCTCCTCTCTGTTCCCCTCGCCCGTGCCCTCTGCATGCCCTCTCTGGCTTCCTGCACCCGCTTCGCTCCTTGCGCCAGAGTTCCGCCTTCCGTTCTGCTCTCTTGGCGACTTCCACCTGCCTCGTACCGCCTCTCCCTCGATCCTCCTCGCCCCTCTGTCCGTCCCCACTGCACCGTCGGCGGTCCGTGCACCTCCCGCTCCTCCCATCTGCTCATCTCGCGCCGGGTCGCCTCTCTGGCGATGGTGACCAGGAGTCCAAGTGCTCCCACCAAGTGCGCGGCTGACGCCGCGGTGACCGCTCCCCCGCGTACTTCTCCCTACGTGTGTGTTGTCCGTCTAACGAGCGGGACCAGCTGCTGTCTCTCCGCTCCCTCTGCCTAGTCCGGCCTGGCAAGCGCATGGTGCTACTGCGTCTCCCTTGCTGCTGACCGTGCCACTTCGGCGACGCTGTTTCCGCCTTTCGCCCCCTCTCACAGTGCGGCTACTGCCGTCCTCCCGAATGCGCATCGACGCCGCTCCACTCTCCCTGCTCCTGGTGCTCGCCGCAAGGGCGAAACTCGCCCACACGCCCTCCCCCGAGGCGCCGCTCCCTCTCCGCCAAGCGGGACTGCTCCTTCTTCCCCTTGCCGCACGGATTCGGCGCCTGCCACGCTCGATGGCTCATCTCTGGCCCGCCCAGCTCCTGCCGTCCGGAGCTCTCCGTGCGCCGCCCTTCCTCGTGGGGATCGTCTCGACCGCGCGATTCTGGCGGCGGGGTCTCTAATTCCGCGACCGCCACCGGGCCCGTCTCCGCTTGCGCTTCCGTCGGCTCGATTTCCGCACCGCCCGTTCCTCCTGCTCGCGCCTCATTCGCCCCTTCTATCCTTGCCTCCTCGTCTGACCGTCCCGATCCTTCCTCCTCGTCCTCCGCGCCCTGCTCCAGCGTCTCTTCTTGAATTGCATTGCGCGGCGAGTTCTCTCCACGAGCGACGCTACCCCTGCTCCCTCCTTGTCAGCGAGACCGCTCGCCGAACGCCAACCGCCGCCCTCTCTCGTCGCGACGTCATCCGCGCTCCTCTAGGGAGCGGAACACCCTTCCGCCGCGGTGGTTTCCGCCCTCCGCGCCAGGTCCGCGTCAGCTCTCCTGGAGCCACGCATTTCGATCCGCGCGTTCGGCGTGTCCTTCGTCATTCCGTTGCGTATCTGCTACTCCACCGTCCCTCACAGCAGAGACCCGATCGGCGCGGAAGGCGGGACGGCGCGGCGATCGCTCTATGGATTGCCAAAGCTCTCGTGACGGCTCTCAGCGCTCCTGCTCCTCCTCCCGTCGGCTATACGCCCTACCCCAGCTCAGCTCGTATCGATCCATCACGTTCGTGCTCGCAAGTTACAGTCCTAGCCCCCGTGTCCCTTTCTCGCTGTTATGAAAGATGCTGGTCTCTCACCCCGCAGGTTCCCTCTTAGTGTGCTGTCGTGTGCTAGAGCCTAAGACAATCAAATTCACTAGTGTAAGAGAATAACAACAAGAAAGCATCAATGGGTTGGAGGTGAGTGACCTTACCCCACCCCTGACTGCACATTTCAAAATGTGCGGCTCAAGGTTGGGGTTCATGGGTTTCACATTTCGCCCTTCGGAGTCTTTCCCCCTTTTTATCTCAACCGCTCTTATCCTGTTTCCCCACTTCTACACCCTCGCTCCTAACAGTAACTTCGCTACATCCTACACCTATTACTTATATTCTCATTCCTATCTCATCTTCCTATGGACTTAGTATGACGCCCACACTTTACCATTATTCTCCTGTTATTGCATATGCATTAAGTGCATATGCGATGACATCCGTTGGACAAACAGGCCTGTTGGTCCAACAAGTCCATTGGACCAACAGGCGAGTTGGTCCAGCTGGTCCTTTGGACTCAAAGGCCTGCTGGTCCAACCGGTCCATTGGACCAAAAGGTCAGTTGGTTCTGCTGGTCCATTGGACCAACAGGCCAGTTTGTCCAACCAGTCTATTGGACCAACATACCAGTGTTGGTCCAACCGGTCCATTGGACCAACAGGCCAGTTTGTCCAACCAGTCCATTGGACCAACATGCCAGTGTTGGTCCAACCGGTACATTGGACCAACCGGCCTGTTGGTCCAACCGGTCCATTGGACCAACATGCCAGTGTTGGTCCAACCGGTCCATTGGACCAACCGGCATGTTGGTCCAACCGGTCCATTGGACCAACATGCCAGTGTTGGTCCAACCGGTCCATTGGACCAACCGGCCTGTTGGTCCAACTGGTCCATTGGACCAACATGCCAGTGTTGGTCCAACCGGTCCATTGGACTGAAATGCTGGTTGGTCCAGCTGGTCCATTGGACCAACAAGCCAGTTGGTCCAGCCGGTCCATTGAACCAATAGGCCAAATGGTCCAACCGGTCCATTGGACCAAAAGGCCAGTTGGTCCAGCTAGTCCATTGGACCAAGAGGCCAGTTGGTCCAACCAGTCCATTGGATCAACAGGCCTGTTGGTCCTGCTGGTCCATTTGACCAACAAGCCTGTTAGTCCAGCCGGTCCATTGGACCAACCGGCCTGTTGGTCCAACCGGTCCATTGGACCAACATGCCAGTGTTGGTCCAACCGGACCATTGGACCAACACGCCAGTTGGTCCAACTGGTCCATTGCACCAACAAGCCAGTTGGTCGAACCGGTCCAATGGACCAATAGGCCAGTTGGTCTAGCCGGTCCATTGGACCAACATGCGAGTTGGTCCAGCCGGTCCATTGTATCAACAGGCCTGTTGGTCCAACCGGTCCATAAGACCAACCTGCCAGTGTTGGTCCAACCGGTCCATTGGACCAACATGCCAGTTGGTCCAACCGATCCATCGCACCAACGGGCTAGTTGGTCCAACCGGTCCAATGGACCAACAGGCCAGTTGGTCCTGCCGGTCCATTGGACCAAGTGGCCAGTTGGTCCAACCGGTCCATTGGACCAAGAGGCTTGTTGGTCCAGACGGTCCATCGAACCAACAGGCCAGTTGGTCCTGCCGGTCTATTGGACCAGCAGGCCAGTTGGTCCAACTAGTCCATTGGACCAACATGCCAGTGTTGGTCCAACCGGTCCATTGGACCAATAGGCCAGTTGGTCTAACCTATCCAATGGACCAACACGCTAGTTGGTCCAGCTAGTCCATTGGACCAAGAGGCGAGTTGGTCCAACCTATCCAATGGACCAACAAGCCAGTTGGTCCAGCCGGTCCATTGGACCAAGAGGCCACTTGGTCCAACCGCTCCATTGGACCAACAGGCTAGTTGGTCCAGCCGGTCCATTGGACCATCCGGCCTGTTGGTCCAACCGGTGCATTGGACCAAAAGGCCAGTTGGTCCAGCCGATCCATTGGACCAAAAGGCCTATTTGTTGTCGGAGAACACCTTTCCTCTGGCACCTGCTCCTCTTCCTGCTTCCATTCTTCTTTCTTTCCTTACATATGATGTTACAAGAGGCTGTACGGTGAATGATCTCGCAGGGCTGCTTGCTTCCCAAACCAGTACTCTGCCGCAATCCAATACAGCTTATCATCCCGGTCCCTCTTCCTCTTCTCCCCTTATGCCCGCAATCCTCTTTTTATGGTTTGCACCAGCCGCTCAATCAACCCGTCACTCCGGGGATGGTAGCGGGAGGTGCGGCGGTGGGTAATGCCTGCCTCCTCTAACATTTTATTGAACTCCCCTTGAAACTCATTCCCCTTGTCCGTGAGGACCTCTCCGCACGCTCCAATTCTGCACAGCACTTGCTCCTTGAGCGCTGCTGCCACATGCCTTGCGTTTTTGCTTGGGATCGCCCTTACCTCTAACCATTTGCTCAGGTGCTCCACCATGAGCACAATATATTGTTTCCCTCCCCTGCTCAGAGGCAGCTCTCCCGCCAAATCCAGGAACCACCTGAAGCCCAGGCCGCGGATGAGCAGCGACTGCAGCTCGGCCTTAGCTTGCGTCAGGTTTGCCCTGATTCTCTGGCATGCTTCACAATTCTCCACCCACTTCTTCACCTGCCCTCGCATTCCCTCCCACCACCATCCCGTTTTCAGCAGCAGCACCGTCCTTTTATGCCCATAGTGGCCCAGCTTAGTGTGCACTTCACTGATCACCGCCTCCCTCTCGCCTAGCGCTGGCACCAGCTTCCACCCATCCTCTATCTGTATCTGCAGCTGCTGTTGGTACCACCTGTAGTGGTGCCCCCTTGCCCTTACCCTCTCCGTCATCTCCTCATCCTCATCCGTTTCCCCCTTCACCCACCTCATGGCGGGTTCATCCTCCCAGATATTTGCCGGCCCTTAGCTCCCCTTAGCCCCATTTAGCTCGACCTACTTTGCTGTTATAGTCACACTAGGCTCCAATGTGCCTAAAACGAAAGATAGAGTGCACAGTCGGATTTCTGCACAGCGGCCTCAAACGTTCATAGCGTTCTAGTCACAACATCTAATGACTTGATTCAACTTGGATCTGGAGCGTCTTATTCTCGCCTACATTAGGCAATTTAGATCGCACGATTTGACCAAGCATTAACGACACAGCGTTGGTTTGAACGAACGGAACTATGGCAGCAACATAGTCTTAGAACACAAAATAGGAAGAGATATGAAGAATTACGAGTTGGGAATGACTCCCAGCTCCTACAAACCCCAAGAGCCGAGGTACAGTGATGTGGAACAGTGCCACACTATCCCCAACCATGAAGGGTCTCGAAACTACCCTTCACTAGGGCCTACACCAAGTGAAATGTTACACTACACAAAGTAATGTAACTATCTTCAATATCTGAAGGTGTACCCTTTTTGGCGAGCTTCAAAATCACTTGAGGCTTGACACCAAGGCTTGGGCTCTTCACCACAAACTCATCCTTGAGTTCTTGATGGGTCTGCTGCACACACCTGCGACACACCGAACGTTCGACACAGGACAAAATAGAAACGGCACACAACAAAAATAGAACCCGCGCGCGAGACACAAACGACCGCGTAACACGCGTTTAGCGCTGCTGGTACAAGAAGTTGGCAGCTGTTTTAGAGGAGATGGGATTCAGGACCAGCAGCTGTGATGAGAGCCTCTTTCTCAAGTGGGAGGGGGAGAAGCTGGTGCTGTTTCTGGTCTATGTGGACGACATTCTTCTCTTTAGCAGCAGCATCAAGGAGATCCAGAAGGTGCAGCAGCAGCTGATGGAGAACTTCAAGTGCAAGAACCTTGGGGAGGTAAAGTACTACCTTGGGATGCACGTAGAGAGGGATCTGGATCACAGGTGGTTGAAGCTGCACCAAGAGAAGTTCATCAAGGAGCTGGGGGAGGATTACGGGATTGAGAATGAGCGCAAGGTTGCAACTCCCCTGCCAGCAGAATTCAAGCTTGTGAAAGGTGCAGAGAATGAAGGGGTTGAAGCCGAGGAGCAGCAGCAATTTCAGTCCTTGGTGGGCAGCCTCTTGTATGCAGCAGTTCACACGAGGCCCGACATCTCTTTCTCGGTTAGGCAGCTGGCTAGGGTGGTGCAGAATCCATCACAGGAGCAGGTGGATGCACCTGAGCGTGTGGTGAAGTATCTGAACTCTCACCCAAGCATTGGAGTTCAATAATCCGCATCTGCACAGGTGAAGCAGAAAGAGGTTGAGGTGCTGAAAGAGAAGGGGGAGAGGCTTGGAGAAGGCAAGCTCTTTCTCACTTGCTATACTGATGCTACATGGCGATGTTCCATGGGGAGAAGGAGGTAATTTGGTTGAGGAGACTGTTGGAGGAGATTGGCCAGGTGCAAAAGGTTGCTACGCCGCTGTTTTGTGATAGCAAGGGGGCTCTTGGGATGGCCAGGAACGCTGTGCTTCATGGGCTCAATAAGCACATGTGTATCAAGTGGCACTGGCAACGTAAGGAGGTGAAGAGGGGGATGGTGAATCCGATCTACATCAAGACTCACCAGCA